AAAAGTCATAAAAAGCATCATCTGGCGGACTTTACACATTGTTCATTTACTCATTATACTGACATAGTAAAAATACAAAGTTGGTTGAAAATCAGTGAACGTACCCTTTTTGAAGGAGCAATATTTAGGGACTGTGATATCATGAAGCAGGAGTTTTAAACAGACGATCCACTGACTATTGTTATTTTTAAACTAATGGAAAAGCTTGAAGACCCATCCCCTATCATAGAGACCGTAGGCTTTTTTGACTCACCCTGAACACTCTGGCAGTGGCGCAAAAACGGAGTATGCAGTATATGCAGTGCATAGGGGCGCCACACATAGGGGGATGCCATTTTGCCAAAATCCTTCTGTGAAAAAGGCACACACTCACTTCATAAATAAAACGCACTAGCAACTGCGAGCATACATCGTCAGTTAAGTCACAAAATTACCAAAACGATTAAAGCTCCAAAACTTTGCATGCATGTATGTGCATTACATTTACATCTCTCAAATACATGCAGCCTACTGAAATATTCTGCAATTTGAGATCACAATAGGGCGCAAAACGATAGGCTATGTAATTTTTTTTATTTATAATGTAATGCACAAGTAGGCCAAATGTGAGCATAGCGCAGTTAAATGTACTAGAAAATATGCAAAAATTTTTAGTTCATTTGTAAAGTACAAAAATGAAACCATATTTAAAAGCATAAAATAACTCTTTACATTCTTACATTATTTTCCTTTGTACAGAGCTCAGTTTAGGTATGACAAAAGTGCTGCAATTAATTAATTTTGACAACTAATAGAATGTTAAACATTGACTGATAACTTTTTCAGAGTTCATTGATTATATAAAATTCAATGAAGGTTGACTAGGCTATAGTTATCTGCATGTCTCATTTATGAGTGGGCCTATGCAATGATGGAGCCACTAACCACTTTTCACTGAAAACTGCCGTTGTAAATTAAAAATAGGCCATCTGTGTAAATCAAGTAGATTCAATGAGTTAAATACTCCTGCTACTTCATATTTCAATACAAACAATGCTGAACTTTGACAAAAAAAAA